CACTAAGCGAGGCTGTTTCGTCGGACTTCCACCGACTCATCAGGAGGTTGAACCCCGACAGTCTGCCCGGATGTCGTGTGTGTGTGTGTGTATCCACATGCCAAGTCCAAGTCGAGCGTAGTTGTGTAGTGTAGAGTAATAAAGTCGAAGTCGAGTGTAGTAGCATAGGATAGGAAAGTAGAAGTCTAGTACAGAGTAGAGTAGCATAGGGGTGGGTCTTTCCCACCCGTAGAATTTGCCCATGCCGCCACCAAAAAGGCACGCCCCCATCCAAAAACAGTCCACGCCGCCACGAAACCATCACGGACAGCCTATGGAACCCGTTTGCCCGAACACAAAACCCCACCGGTAGGCACGGACAGCCTATGGGAACCCGTTTGGCCGAACACAAAACCCCACCGGTAGGTACCGCGCCAAGAAACCACTGGTAGGTACCGCGGCCCTCTCCAACAGGCAAATAATCCCGGCCGTCGCGCCCAAGGTACCGGGCCAACGGCCTCGATTGATGCGCGCTCTTAAGATCTTAAGATCACGAGATCACGCTGATACGGCGCGTTGATCCGGTAGGACCCGACGGCCCAGATCGCAGATTTGTTACATGGTTAGGTCGATCTGGGCCGTGGGCCAGTAGGACGGCCCCGATTTGCAGATTTGTTACCTTAGCGATTTTAATAGTGTAGGGATAGTATCTAATTTTTGGATTAAGATGGATTTTTCATTTTTCTTTGTTTTATGCTTAATTTCTTTAATTGCGTTGTATAAAATACGAGAAGCTAGAAGTACTAAAAAAGGTGCTAGTGGCAAAGGTACGCCTTGAGGTAATAAAAAACTCAAAAAACTTTTTAAAAAGTCCATCAGTTTGAATTTTGAAATATATGAATTTATATCCTAGTAAGACGTACTCTATATTTCGTATATTTTGTTTTGTTACTTTTGGAACTATATTTGTGTCGCCAGACGTTTCACACCTACACCTTTTTTTTTTTTTTTTCTCTTGTTTCCCTTCCCTCCTTTTTTTTTTTTTTCCATTATATGCCAGAAAACGGGTATGGCATCCCTTACATATAAACCGCAGCCATACAGGGCTGGGAAAAGCACTCCCGACCAATCCCATCCCCGACTGCACCAAAAAATCAGGCAACATTGCTCAAACCCTAGCTACCACTAACTAGTCATTTGAAAGCTGATGCAGTTCAGAAAAAATTCGAATCTAGCACTACCAAACTTAGTGTATCATAATTACTCATTAATCATAATACGCTAATAATTACAATTCCCTAATTAATTACGAACCCTAATACGGTAATTAGACAAATGTAATTACGATTCCCGTACAAAAATACTATCTCTATTTTCAATTTTCTTCCTCCCTATCTAATTACTATTCCCCTATGT